CTTTCACACACCCGTAACTGCTAGTTACCCTCCTACAGCACCTCCACAATATTTGTCCATCAGTGGACTTACATGGCAGGTGCCATCACGTAAAAGGGAGGAAGATCAGTGAATGTCTGTTTGCTGACCTTCCCTTCCTGCTAATGACCCCGAAGTGACATGTAAGATACCACATCCGGGTCCTGGTGTCTTTCAAACCTTTGATGCCTCATCAAAGAGAACATGAAACCAAAAAAAAATCACATAGGGAACTTTTAGTCCCTTATGTGACTAAAAAGTAAAGTTTAGTGAAAACAATATTTTTTTCTTTAATTAAAAAAATTAAAGTTACACCCAAGCACTTAAGCCCCCTACCCCCACATACACGCATGTATGAAAATAAATACATGTGTTGGGGGTACCTACACATGAAAGCATTAATTGCAATACACGTCAGTAATTCCAGGCCCATTATTCATGGTTAACTGATGACCTTTAGGGGCTTTCTAAAATCGCCATTTCATGGCTGCATACAATTTTAAGCCTTGACATGTTGGGTAAATATTTAAGGTGCAACCTCATCTTTATTATGTTACGAGAAACAATATTGTATATTGCATTTGTGCTCCCTAAAATTACCTTTAATGTATTTTTAACCAAAATTTTGCATTTCAAAAACTGTTGCACTTATATTGTGTGATAACAAATTGGAACTATCATTTTATTTTATTCTCTAAGGTGTCTGCTTTCTGAAAATATATACCGCTTGGGGTGTTTAACTAATCTTCAGGTCTTAAATGATTGTTTAATCATGTGTGCAAAAATCAAATGGCTCTGGCAGCAAAAGGTTAAATAAAAATAATCATAACAACATTATTGCAAATATAAATGTAGGCACTGTAGGTCTTTGACACATTTCATATTATAAAACTGCCTTTTTGTTGTTTCTTTCAAACACTACTGGACAATAACTAATAAAAAAAGCAATTTTCTCAAAGATGCCATTGTGGTAATTATTGATGACGCACAGCATACAATGGAGGAAAAGTGTGGCTAGACTTATAGAACCTCTGCTGATTACAAGGATACTCAATGTACATGCAATCAATAAATAAAAACAAAAAACGAGCAATAAAGTGCAATAATCAATATAAGCTGCAACCACAAAAAGAGGATATCCTCTCTAGTATACAAATCAATAATATGTGTTGCACTAGCGAACACGCAAATAAATACAATGCAACAAATTCAAGCCCCAGAAGACGTCTGTTATGACGAAACACGTAGGACGGAGCATTCCCTGTGATGTCATCGCATACCAATTTACCAGAAGTACAGTGTGCCACATTGTCTGGTGACTATATTACAACGCTTATGTTTTATATTTGCTTGTAAGTATGATTATTTTTAAATAAATGATGGTTCTGGCATCTACACTATTCTAGACATATGCTTTGCTTTCTTATGATTGTATGTACACCTACAGTTGCAAGAAAAAGTATGTGAACCCCTTGGGATTACGTGGAGTTTTGCATGAATTGGGCATAAAATGTGCTCTGAACGTCATCTAAGTCACAACAATAGAAGAACACAGTCTGCTGAACATAATACTACACAAACATTAGATGTTGCCATGGTTTAATTGCACATAACATGTAAACATTCACAGTGCAGGAAGGAAAAAGTATGTGAGGCCCTAGCTTAAAGACTTCTCCCAGAGCTAATTGAGCCAGGAGTGAGCCAACCTTGACTCCAATCAGTGTGATGATATTGGATGTGTTGCTGACAGCTGTCCTGCCCTTAAAAAACACACACCTGTTTTGGGTTTACTGGTTTCAAGAAGCACTGTCTGATGTGAACCATGCCTCACAGAAAAGAGCTCTCAGAAGACCTACCATCAATAATTGTTGACTTGCATGAAGCTGGAAAGGGTTACAAAAGTATCTCCAAAAGCCTTGATGTTCATGTGTCCACAGTAAGACAGACTGTCTACAAATGGAGAAAGTTTAGCACTGTTGCTACTCTCCCTAGGCGTGGTCGTCCTATAAAAATGACTGCAAGAGTACAGCGCAGAATGCTGCATGAGGTAAAGAAGAATCCCAGAGTGTCAGCTAAAGACCTACCGAAATCTCTGGCACATGCTAACATTTTTGTTGACACATCTACAATAAGGAAAACATTAAAGAAGAATCAAGTACATGGGAGGACACCACGGAGGAAGCCATTGCTGTCCAAAAAGAATATTGCAGCACGTTTGAAGTTTGCATAAGAGCACCTGGATGTTCCACAGCACTACTGGCAAAATATACTGTGGACAGATGAAACCAAGATTGAGTTGTTTGGGAAGAAAACACACAACACTATGTGTGGAGAAAAAAAGCACAGCACACCAACATCAAAACCTCATCCCCACTGTAAAACATGGCGGAGGGAGCATCATGGTTTGGGGCTGCTTTGCTGCCTCAGGGCCTGGACGGATTGTTTTCATTGATGGGAAAATGAATTCCAGAGTTTATCAAGACATTTTGCAGGAAAACGTACGACCATCTGTCCGCCAACTGAAGCTCCGCAGAGGATGGGTGATGCAACAGGACAATGACCCAAAGCATACAAGTAATTCAACAAAACAATGGCTGCAACAGCACAGAATACGCCTTCTGGAGTGGCCCAGTCAGAGTCCTGACCTCAACCCGATTGAAATGCTGTGGCATGACCTTAAGAGAGCGATTCACACCAGACGTCCCAAGAATATTGCTACACTGAAACAGTTTTGTGAAGAGGAGTGGTCCAAAATTACTCCAGATCGTTGTGCAGGTCTGATCTGCAACTACAGGAAACGTTTGGTTGAGGTTATTGCTGCCAAAGGAGGGTCAACCAGTTATTAAGTCCAAAGGTTCACATACTTTTTCCTCCCTGCACTGTGAATGTTTACATGTTATGTGCAATTAAACCATGGCAACATCTAATGTTTGTGTAGTATTATGTTCAGCAGACTGTGTTCTTCTATTGTTGTGACTTAGATGATGTTCAGAGCACATTTTATGCCCAATTCATGCAAAACTCCACGTAATCCCAAGGGGTTCACATACGTTTTCTTGCAACTGTATATCCGTGGCCATCTGGGGAGCGGTCTGAGATGCTGATGTCTGGCTTCATATAATATCTCCATTTTGGTGTATTAATAAAGCGATGGCTGACCTCTCTGGTTAAGGGGTCAGTACATCTAATAAACACCCATCTTGTGTGCATGGAGGTGTGGGTGACACTGGTGATCACTGAAGATAGACAGATACCTTTGGAATGCACATCTTAAAGGAGACTTATATAAATCTACACTGGGAATACTATTTTCACACACTTTTGCACTTGGGGCATTTATTTCATATTATAATTCAGCAGTTGTTCACTTTATGCGTAGTATTTGTTATTCACTGAATTTATTGTTTATATGATATTCATTTGAATGTATTGCATTGTATTATGTATTTGCATTTGTGTGTATTTTTCCACTAGCACAACACATATTATTGATTAATATAAGTGCATTACTTGCTCTTTGGGTATCTTATTGGACCTAGATTGAACTTAAATTAAAAAATTGCAATACATTCAGAGTGTTATCACAAAATAGCATCACATAAACAGCACATAGTACACAGAAAATCCATTACAATGTAGAAAGTCAAATAAATCAAAGGTCTAAAATCAACTTATAAACTTCAGTGATCTCAAAAGTGCATATAATATAAAGCATCTGCACCACCTTCTGGACAAACATGGCATGTCCAATGGTGAGCGGGTCATTGACCCATTGTTGTCTCATTTGTTGACTTTTGTTGACTTTGTTCATATCCTTTGGAAATATAATCACCATTTGCCCTTTCATTATTACTTTGCATCTGCCCACTGTTGAGTATCACCAGTCCTGTTGGCCAGAGTCTATACCTCCAGACCTTAGTCCTTTTACATAGCCCCTCCTACTTCAGTGCTCTAAGAAATCCATTGTTTCCTGAGACTATCTCACTGAGAGCAGGAACACTTTACATCCTTAAGCGCTCCAATGCCTTCAAGGCCCCCAATGTAGTAAGCAGAAGGCTAAATTTAAAGACTATACATAGTTCACTAACTGGCAACCACAGTTCTCAGTATAATGCCAACCCTCTTTTACAAAGGCCTAGGCTTATCTCTCTCATTCCAAGAGCCCATTGACAACTTTGCCCTTAGCTGTTCTGGTACCTGTTCTGGTTGCCTTTTGCTGTTCATTTAGTGAGGAGAGCTACAGTTTTTCCTGGTCTGGTTTGAGTTTACAGTAGTACTTTAAATATTTCAAGTGAAGCATCAGTGTATCGTTTATGCTGCTTTTTACTGATATACCCTGTGTTACCTGATCACCTCTTTGCCAATATACATTCATGTAACCCACTGAGGTGTTATTACTTGAAATACATTAAAACAGAAATTAGATGGCAGTGGTCTGCTATTCAGGATTATTCACATTGATAGAAAAGCTCTCTGGAACTTGTATTTCTGAACAGCAGAACTTGGCTGATAAGTAGAGTGTCTAAGTCTAAATTTCCCAGGAGAGATAACATGTGAGCGGGGGCATATAATTATCAAAGCCTGGAAGATTGGCCAGGAGAGATTAAAAGGGAGATTGAAGGGGAAGGAGGTGTGCTGACAACTGAAGTGCTGAAATAGGCAGCAGAGCCAGGATTGGAGAGAGCGGAAAGAACTTACTGACCATCTGGCCTGCTACGCTGCAAAGCAGGTCACTCTGACAGCAGGAGCAAGAGCGGAATGCCAAGTCTGATCAAGAGGGCCTGTGGACCACATTGATTGGGTGAGGGAGACTAATGCATGCACAAAGTGAACATTGATAGCTTGTCACTAGAGATGAGCGAATTATTCAAAAATGCGATTCGACTGATTCGGCGAATTCGTGAAAAAAATTTCGATTCGATGCGAATATATTCGCTGCGAATTTAACTTATAAAAGGGTGTTTCTAGGCTTCAGAGAGCCTTTATATTAGTGCAGAACACTGTACCTTTAATTTAAATGCCCTTGGAGTCTGCTGGGGAAGAGAAATAATACTGTCAGTCAGTAGTACATGCAGATGAGTGCCGTCGATCTTAGAATCACCGCACACTTCACTCATTTGGGCAGTCACGGGGCCAAAACCAGAGTGTGGAGCCACAGTGTGGTGGTGGAGGCAGCAGCAATGGGAGGCCATACAGCACCCTATGACAAAATGGAACCCACCAGCAGTGTGAGGAGACCTGAAAGTGGCACATGGCAGAGTGTGGCGATGGAGACAGCAGCAATGGGAGGCCGTACAGGGACCCATGACACACTCTGGACCTGGCAGCAGCATGAGGAGGCGGTACAGGGGCCCATGACAGATTACGGGCCTGGCAGCAGCATGAGGAGTTGGTACGGGGGCCCATGGCAGATTACGGGCCTGGCAGCAGCAATGGGAGGCCGTACAGGGACCCATGACACACTCTGGACCTGGCAGCAGCATGAGGAGGCGGTACAGGGGCCCATGGCAGATTACGGGCCTGGCAGCAGCAATGGGAGGCCGTACAGAGACCCATGACACACTCTGGACCTGGCAGCAGCATGAGGAGGCGGTACAGGGGCCCATGACAGATTACGGGCCTGGCAGCAGCATGAGGAGTCGGTACGGGGGCCCATGACACACTCTGGACCTGGCAGCAGCATGAGGAGGTGGTACAGGAGCGCATGACAGATTAGGAGCCTGGCAGCAGCAACTTGGACAGGAGGACGTTCAGCTTCTGCACCGTCGGGTGCGTGCTCGCAAACTGTTGTCTCTTGGAAACGGATTCCAAGAAAGACTGCTGACGGAATCCGTGAAGAGGAGTAAGCAGGAGAAGGAGCATCTGAACGAGCGGAATATGCCAACAAGCGACAACAGGGGCCCATGACAGATTACGGGCCTGGCAGCAGCATGAGGGGGCGGTACAGGGGCCCATGGGAGATTAGGGGCCTGGCAGCAGCTATGGGAGGCCCGTAATCTGCCAGCACCCTATGACAAAAAATGGAACACACCAGCAGTGTGTGAGGAGACCTGAAAGTGGCACATGGCAGAGTGTGGCGATGGAGACAGCAGCAATGGGAGGCCGTACAGGGACCCATGAGAGACTCTGGACCTGGCAGCAGCATGAGGAGGTGGTACAGGGGCCCATGGCAGATTAGGGGCCTGGCAGCAGCTATGGGAGGCCCGTAATCTGCCAGCACCCTATGACAAAAAATGGAACACACCAGCAGTGTGAGGAGACCTGAAAGTGGCACATGGCAGAGTGTGGCGATGGAGACAGCAGCAATGGGAGGCCGTACAGGGACCCATGAGAGACACTGTGGACCTGGCAGCAGCATGAGGAGGCGGTACAGGGGCCCATGGCAGATTAGGGGCCTGGCAGCAGCTATGGGAGGCCCGTAATCTGCCAGCACCCTATGACAAAAAATGGAACACACCAGCAGTGTGAGGAGACCTGAAAGTGGCACATGGCAGAGTGTGGCGATGGAGACAGCAGCAATGGGAGGCCGTACAGGGACCCATGAGAGACTGGACCTGGCAGCAGCATGAGGAGGCGGTACAGGGGCCCATGGCAGATTAGGGGCCTGGCAGCAGCTATGGGAGGCCCGTAATCTGCCAGCACCCTATGACAAAAAATGGAACACACCAGCAGTGTGAGGTAGACCTGAAAGTGGCACATGGCAGAGTGTGGCGATGGAGACAGCAGCAATGGGAGGCCGTACAGGGACCCATGAGACACTGTGGACCTGGCAGCAGCATGAGGAGGCGGTACAGGGGCCCATGGCAGATTAGGGGCCTGGCAGCAGCTATGGGAGGCCCGTAATCTGCCAGCACCCTATGACAAAAAAATGGAAACACACCAGCAGTGTGAGGAGACCTGAAAGTGGCACATGGCAGAGTGTGGCGATGGAGACAGCAGCAATGGGAGGCCGTACAGGGACCCATGAGAGACTTGGACCTGGCAGCAGCATGAGGAGGCGGTACAGGGGCCCATGGCAGATTAGGGCCTGGCAGCAGCTATGGGAGGCCCGTAATCTGCCAGCACCCTATGACAAAAAATGGAACACACCAGCAGTGTGGAACCTGAAAGTGGCACACCAGCAGAGTGTGACCTGAAAGTGGCACATGGAGACAGCAGCAATGGGGAGGCCGTACAGGGACCCATGAGAGACTCTGGACCTGGCAGCAGCATGAGGAGGCGGTACAGGGGCCCATGGCAGATTAGGGGCCTGGCAGCAGCAATGGGAGGCCCGTAATCTGCCAGCACCCTATGACAAAAAATGGAACACACCAGCAGTGTGAGGAGACCTGAAAGTGGCACATGGCAGAGTGTGGCGATGGAGACAGCAGCAATGGGAGGCCGTACAGGACCCATGAGAGACTGTGGACCTGGCAGCAGCATGAGGAGGCGGTACAGGGGCCCATGGCAGATTAGGGGCCTGCAGCAGCTATGGGAGGCCCGTAATCTGCCAGCACCCTATGACAAAAAATGGAACACACCAGCAGTGTGAGTGAGACCTGAAAGTGGCACATGTTTGGGGCATGATTCATGGCGGATTTAGTCAGTTGTGTCAGGAACTGGTGGTTTGAAATCCAGACTAATCCACGCCTGATTCATTTTCACAAACGTGAGTCTCTCCACACTTTGGGTGGACAGTCGTGTCCTCCGCGGAGTTACAATACCTCCTGCCGCACTAAACACGCGCTCCGATGCCACGCTACTGGCCGGGCATGACAGCCTTTCAAGGGCAAATTCAGCTAGTTGGGGCCAAAGGTCAAGTTTCGTTGCCCAGTAGTCAAGGGGATTGTCTACCTCGGTTGGCAGGGTGCTGTCCAAGTAGGCCCAAGCCTGTTGTTTGAGGTCCTGCTCCAGGTCCACCTGATGCTGCTGCTGCTGCGGCTGGTTAGTAGTTTCCTCACTGCGCTGGTGAAGAAAGCTACTCATCATCGACTGCAGACTGAGGCAGCCGCTGCTGGTGGAGCTGCCACTGCTCCTACCACCCCACCCCTCCCCTGCTGCCATGGCAGCGGAACGCGAGCGCACAGGGCCCACAGTGTCTGAGGATGGACGTTGGCGCAGAAAGGCAGAGACCAACTGACTACATAGGTGGTTTTTATAGTACGTACGTTATTTTGGCCTCCCTCTCAGCAGGTGTGAAAAAGGCCACCATTTTTGAACGGTAGCGAGGGTCCAACAAGGTGGACAGCCAAAAGTCATCCCTCTGTCTGATGGTTATTATTCGGCTGTCGCTACGCAAGCAACCGAGCATGCTATGGGCCATTTGTGCCAAGGAATGCGAGGGACTCCCTGCCTCCATCTCCACAGCATACTGCCACGGTGCGTCTGGGTCCTCTGTCTCCTCCTCCTCCTCCTCTACCAGATGCTCCTGCTCCTCCACTCCTGTCCGCTGAGTGGAAAAACCACCCATTTCACTCAATAATTCCTGAGCACAAATGTCCTCCTCTACCTCCTCCTCTTCTTCTTCCTGTCCTGCCCCCACAGGGGTCATGTGGCGTTGAGATCTGTGCGCCACGTCTACCGCACCCTGACCAGCCATTGTTAACAGCATTTGTTCCAGGACGTGCAACAGAGGAATGACGTCGTTCATCCCATAGTCCTGCCGACTCACGAATAGCGTGGCCTCCTCAAAGGGCCTGAGCAAGCGGCAGGTGTCACGCATGAGCTGCCAATGGCTGACATCGAAGTTACACAGGGGAGTACCTTTATCCGCTTGTAACATCAGGAAATCGGTGATGGCCTTTCGCTGTTCGTAAAGGCGGTCTAACATGTGTAGGGTTGAATTCCACCTTGTTGCAACGTCGCAGATCAGGCGATGCTGTGGAATTCCGTTCTGCCGCTGCAGCTCAAGGAGGGTGTGCTTTGCGGTGTAGGAATGGCTGAAATGCATGCAAAGTTTACGTGACATTTTAAGGATGTCTTGCAGTGGGATGGTGGATTTTAGGAACCGCTTGACAACCAGATTGAACACGTGAGCCATGCATGGCGCATGGCACAACCTTCCTTGACGCAGAGCAGACACCATGTTCTTTCCGTTGTCGGTCAACATGGTTCCGATTTTCAGTTTGCGCGCGGAGACAGCCATCTGTCGATTTCTCTGTTCATTACACTGAGAAGTTCCTCCCCTGTGTGACTACGTTCGCCAAGGCATACCAGGTGCAGCACAGCGTGACACCGTTGCGCCCTGCACATGTGATATGCCGGTCGGGTAATGGGACTTGGCACGGGGGTGGCGGCTGAGGACACGGCGGAAGAAGAGGTGGTAGAGGCGGACATCTTTTGTGGACCAAGGACGTGCAAACGTGGAGGCAAAAGCGGCGTGACCTGTCCAAGTTGCTGGTGCGGCTGTGACGGCACCACGTTCACCCAGTGGGCCGTAAATGACATGTACTGTCCCTGACCGTAGTTACAGCTCCACACGTCGGCGCTGCCGTGCACTTTGGCAGAGACCGACATGCTCAAAGACTGGCCCACCATCTCTTCTACATGTGAATGCAGGGCTGGCACTGCCTTTTTGGCGAAGAAATGACGGCTTGGCACTCTCTCCACCGCGGCGCGGCACAAGCCATCATTTCTCGGAAAGGTGCTGAGTCCACCACTTGGAAAGGGAGGGACTGCAGCACCAGCAACTTGGACAGAGGACGTTCAGCTTTTGCACCGTCGGGTGCGTGCTCGCAAACTGTTGTCTCTTGGAAACGGATTCCAAGAAAGACTGCTGACGGAATCCGTGAAGAGGAGTAGCAGGAGAAGGAGCATCTGAACGAGCGGAAGATGCCAACGAGCGACAACTCCCCTCAGCAGAGGTGTTGGAGCCTTGACTGGCTGATAGAGGGCGATTGACGTCGGGTGACGGAGCAAGTAACGGAGCGGGTGATGGAGCGGGGGCTGGGGCAGGCAGAACCGCCGTATCTTTATATCACGGTTTTCCCAGGCCACCAAATGGCGACGCTGCATATGCTGCCGCAACGCTGTAGTCCCAACATGGGCCCCCTGGCCACGCTTGACTTTCTGGCCACATAGTCGACATACGGCTACGTTTACTTCCTCGGGCGGCTTGACAAAAAATTGCCACACCACCGCCGAGTAGGAAACTTTGCCCCCGATACTCCTCACTGGCTGACTGCTACTTCCTCCGTGCACACCGGCACCACTACTGGCCGTGGTGGTAGGCTGCAGTGGAGCTGGTGCTCTACTCCGTGGCCGTTTGCCTCCACTGACACTGCTGCTGCGACCCCTGCTGCCTCCTGGGCAACCCACCGACTGTTTTTTGCTCGCTGCCAAGCTGCCACCCTCTCTTCTCCTGATGATGCGGAAGCAATAGCCTGATGACGACGAGGCTGCCAAGTGCGATCAGCCTCATCATCATCAATTAGGGTCTCTCCGCCTCACTACTAGCCCCCTCGGCTGCGTGTGGGTCAGAGACAGACCTGTCTCTAGACCGGCTACCGAGCCACTCTCCTCGCCACTACTACTTCTTCGCCTGGCTGCTGAAGAGGCGGATGTCTCCCCCCGTTCCTGACCGCCCTCTGTTAGCTCTTCCTCACTGTACAGTGGGGCTGAGCCCACAGCATGCGATACTTCGCTTGGTGAGGGAACACCAAAGGACAGGGGCAGGTAGAGGACACGTGATTTCAGTGGGCTTGCTCCCGGGCCATGCCAACTAACGG